TGCTATGAGACACTGGCCCAGGGGCTCTCTGCAAACCTGGGATCTCTTTGGCAGAACTAAATTGACCATAACATGTTAAAAGCACTTACAACTTCCGTGCCAATGGTGCCCTTAGCTAAGTGAGCACCCTGAGTCCCCTGGGCTTGGGATGAGCCCAGCATCGTACAGGAAATCCAGCAGCCAGGCCGTCCCGGAGATAATCATAGAATCATAGAGGACATTGGTCTGGAAGGGACCTTTAAAGGTCATCTAGTGCAACCCCCCTGCAGTGAGCAGGGACATCTTTAACTGGATCAGGTTGCTCAGAGCCCCATCAAGCCTGACCTTGAATGTGTCCAGGGATGGAGCCTCCACCACCTCTCTGGGCAACCTGTTCCAGTGTTTCACCACCCTCATAGTAAAGAACTTCTTCCTAACATCTAATCTAAATCTACCCTGCTCTAGTTTAAAACCATTGTCCCTTGTCATGTCACAATGCACCCTTGTAAATAGCCCTTGTAAATGCACTGGGATAACCTGTCCACGGAATGGGATTTGTAAAAAGCAAGCCTACCTGAGATAAAAAGAAAAAAGAGATGATGGAGGGTGAAAAAAAGTCCTTTTTTACCCAAAAGTTAAGGAAACACATCCTCTTGCTTGAACCAGCCATCCCCTGGGATCAGGTGCTTTCTCACCGTGCTCATAGCCAGAAGCACTTTACTCAAGCAGAGCTCATGTCACCCAGCAGCTCCACCCATTACTGAAGTAACACACCCAGAAAACCACAAGTAACTACAAAGCCTACAGGGCAGGGTAAGCATTGTCTTGGGAAAAAAAAAAAAAAGGCAAATTTATCAAAATTATTGTCGAATATTTTTTCTGTTCTGCAAGTATTTGCAAAGCCTATTCAAAGCTATCAAGCAGTTTTTTTGCCTAGAAGACTTTTTCCAGATCAGGTTCAAAAGACTGTCTAGGATGGAGTAAGTTTAAAAGCAGGACGATGGGAACCAGCTGTATGGCTCTTGGTTCCTTCAACCTGAGCTCCAAGCAGAGTTCAGTACCTCAGTGTCCCCAAGCTGATGTGATTTCAGTGGGTTTGGGCAGGCCTCGATGCAGACGTTTTCAGGAAGCTCTGAGAACTTACTTTGTGGGCACTTCAGTAAGTCCACGGGTCCGTCATATTGTGGCTACTCAATAGCTGAGTTTTGGAGTTTTAGAGTCAAAAGAATGTACACGTCTAAATCCCTGGAGGCACGCAGGAAAGGGACCACTGCCTGGTAGAAACATGAACATTAAAAGGAGGTAAGAACTCATTATACAAGAGAAATGTTGATGGTTGGAAACCACTAGCATAAAACAGAACCTTAAGCTAAACAAAATTACCAGCTGGGGTGTCACTGGCTCTGCAGTCTCATACCAACTTTAGAGATTTGACTTCTATTTCCAAGTGGTGGCAACTGCAACAGGATCTACTTGGCAACATTAGTTCAAAAAACAGTAACTCACATTGATTTGAAGAATGAGCAAACGTTGACAGTGACTTGAACTCAGACCAAGCTCCTGAGGGAGGGTGCAGCCCCGCAGGTCCAGCAGAGCCGGGACCTTTGCCTGCAGGAGGTAGGCACTGGTGGAGGGTCTGTGTCCCCAGCAGCCTGGGCCACGTCAAGCAGTGACGAGGGAGAGATTAATAGGATCTTCCATGAAATGCTGCAGCCTTGAGAGTGCAAAGCCACCAGTGCATCGAAGGAGGGACAGGCAGAATGACAGCAGTGGGACATCCCTGCCACAGGGGACAGAAGCTCCAGCTGCTGACCCAGCCGGGTGTCTAGGGAGGGTTGCTGCTCACCAGAACTTGGAGCCAAGAAGTCATGGGGAGACCCAAGAGAGGCCTAAGTTGAGGAGCTGAGGGAGCGGAGTCATCCAGGCAAGAGAGATCTTGAAAATGACAAGAGTCAGAAAGGGCCTCTCACAATGCCCCTCTGAGGTGCCCATATGCTACACCTGAGCGTGGGGAACGTGCAAGAGTTAGAGGTCTGTGTGCAGTTGCAGGAGTTGGTCTCACTGGGATCAAGGAGACATGGTGGGACAGCTCATACAGCCCAAGTGCCACCATGGATGGGTACAGGCTCTCCAGGAAGGACAGGATGGGGAGGTGGGGGAGTCGTCCTGGATGCAAGGGAGCAGCAGGAGAGCACAGAGCCCTGCCTGGGGGTGGACAACGAGGCAGCCGAGAGAATGGCCATCAGGATCAGAGAGGTGACCCATGTGGATGACGTTCCTGTGATCATCTGCTACGATCGCGTGTCATGAGGAAGACAACTGGAAGAAACATGATGTTTCCAGGTCCTGCTCCTCATGGAGGACTTAAACCACACTGGTACCTGCTGGAGGGACAACACAAGCAGTCCAGGAGGTCTCTGGAGCGCTGATAACTTCCTATCAGAGATACAGAGTAGCTGATGGGGGAGGATTGAAGTATTTGTCATGCAAGGTAAAATAGAGAGCTGGGGCTCTTCATCCTTGAATGGCTCGCAGGGGGTCTTGTCAGTACAAGTCATGGAGTCTCCATTCTTAGAGATACTCAAAATCCAACAACACAACCTTGAGCAACGTGCTCTAGTGGCCCCTCCTTTGAGAAGTGGAGTTGGACTAAATGATCTCCAGAGGTCGCCAACCTTTGCAGTTCTGTGAATTTTAAATGAATTTTGAAGACACAGATGTGGCTATGTTCTTTTTCACGTCTTCACAGTTGAACCTACCTCCACCACTACAGTATCAAACAACAAATAAACCTGAGAGTGTTGCGAGATGAAGTAATAAGAAAAACCACACTAATGTAAGACAAAACATTTCTTAAGATTTTAATTGGGACACTTACTGGAAAACTCAGAAGAGGACAATGTGGAACACTACCTTCTTAGCAATTAATTCCACATATTACAAAGACAAAAGTTTCAGGCAAAATAAGGAAAACATCAGGAAAACCACATAAAAAACATGACCCAACAAACTTAACACACGGCAGGGGCTGACGTGAAGCACAAAGCCTTGAGGAACCTGGGCACGGACAGACACTCTGAAGACAGATTTTAAGTTGAATTGATTTTGGCATCAGTGAAAAAGGATGGCTTTTTTTCGCCTCACAAGCAGAAATGCAGTAACATCAAATAAATACCACACATTTTAACAGTCTATTTATTTTTTTCACAGTGCTCCTCAAACTGTTTAACTTTGCCAGACTAGCAGGTAGACACTGAAGAGTGTCCTCCTCCCACTTTTACTTCCATACTTTGAAAAAAAGAGAGCACCTTTTACTTTTCTTATCAGAAGAAATGAAAGAAATTCTTAAAAGATGCTAAGATAACAAAAAAGGGTGTACACTAATCCAAGCCTTCAGATCTGATGAAAAGATCTATTCATGGTACAGCTTTCCTACTGCCCAAATTGGATGCAAATCTGGAAAGCCCTGCTCCCACATAGCTGTACTTTACCGACAGTTACCTTCTACTACCATGTTGAAAGCCAGGAATTCATTTTTGTAGACTTGCTGTAATAAAGTTTTAGTATAATTTTATTATAATTTCATTATAATTTTACAATATGCACCCAATCCTAATAAATGTAGATGATTTGGGGTATCCAACTCTTCTTAATATCACCACATGGGAAGATCCCATTATCATCATGTCTATATTAACTACATAATGAGGAAATGCATATGAATTTGCATTTTTCTGAAGGACAATTCTTTTCTCTGGGAGTCCAACCAAACAGCCTGTGCCCTCAGCAGTTAGCAAAAAATTACGTCAGTTGTCTTCTCCACAGACACCCCCTCGTCAGGGGTAGAAGCTTGCGTACCCTTACGAGGCTGCGAGCTATGCTGGCAGTGGCATACACTCCGATAGGGTGTCCCATGCCAGACAGGTCTCAACTGAAGGGTCAGACTAAATGTGTCCACTGGACTGACTACGTGACTAATGTCACTGTCCCTGAACGGGCAGGGGTCACCAGCACTGAGGCCATGCTGCTGAGGACGCAGCTGCGCTGGGCAGGGCACGTCT